GCTCTGTGTGTCTGAATGAACAGTTGTAAAACTGTGTTTTGCATTTGAAAAATGTATGCATTTTGCACATGTAGCAAATGAATGAGAAAAGAGTTCAAGGATTTTGGTAGATGTGGTCAATGAAGGCATTTTGTGTGAAAGCAGTGAGGAATAATTTGGTCCACATACACATCTGCTTTGCTGACTGAGTGAGGAGTTTGGGCCAGTGCATGTTAGCTCCCAAATAGTGGCATCCTCCATTGCTTTTCTTTACCTCATTCTCTGATATGTCTCAAAAGTATTAGCTACACCAATAATTTATTTTCATATGATTAATTAAAAAGACTATGCAGGAATAGGGCGCGGAGAGTTGATGATTAACTGTTGCATGTTAAAATTCTACCTCATATTATAACTGATACAAACTGTGCATCTCGGCTGCAAATGCAGTTCAGTTGTTCTGGTTGGCTTTTTTTTTTTTATAAAAAGAAGCGTTAAATTAAGAGACCGTCGATCCTGAATTATCAGTCCCACTTAAACCAACAGTCAGTCTCTGTCTAGACTACAAGGGTCATTTCTCACTCATTTTCACTACCAGACCTGCAGCCCTGTGCCAGTAGTTCTTGGCCAGAAGAGTTATTAAGGGCATTTAACCATATAACCAAGAAAACCATCCAAAAATCAACATTTATAATGACTCCAAAGGCAAGTGGTTTGGAGTAACGCAGGTGATGACGTAGCACTTCTCCTGCCATCTTTATGATTACAGGGTGTGAGAGAGATGGAGAAGCCACGGGCGACAGGCAGCTACGCAACACAAGTAAAGGCATCCAGCATCCCTCTAATTAAAGCTAATAGTCAGTAATTACCAGGACTCAGTCAAGTGATGGTTAATAACCACATAGCTTCTAATAATAACATCAACAACAACAACAGACAGGCATCCCTGCTAGGGCACACACGGTGGCTTTAGAACCCATATTCTTTGACATGCTTCAGGTTGTCAGGAGAGATTCTGGACATATTTGACCCCCCTTTGGGCACTTTTTCACAGCTGGGCTCTTAAACACAATAATGTGATGTGCTGGCTTAAGGCTTAAGTCAAACTATTGTTTTTAATCTTTCCATATAGATGTCCAACAAAATCATTATATTGGGTGATTTAAGAAAGTAAGCATTAAAGGAATTGTTCTCTTCTTTTTAACCATGTTGAAATATGTATGATGTTGCAAACTTATTTAAACATATTAAAAAGTATGCAATCTAATTTAAAAGTGTTATTATAAAAGTTAATGTAGAAAACCTTTTACTTTTTCAGTATTTAGGTCAGTGTCATTCGGGCTTTAGACAAAACAACAAAGCACTGAGATACAAAAATGTAGTCATCCATCAGACATCAGGAGGATGGAGTAGATGGTAAACTCACTTAAGTTTGGTTTAGATTCATTCAATGGGCTGAGATAAATCTTGTTTATAGCAAGACTACGCCTGGTCACAGAGTTGGGTTATTATGGGACAAGAACAGAGAAAGATAAGCACAACCTAATTTATGACAACTAGGAATATTTTTCAGAGTGAAAAGTTTAGATTAAAATTTGTGAGCAAGCTTTCTTAGTCTGCTCTTGTCTTGAGAAGATATCTTTTGCAAATGTACTCATTTAAAATGAAAACACTTTAAAACCACTACATATACTCTGGCACTTTCCAGTGAAGAAGCATCAGCTCCATAAAGCGGACGCTAGAAGGGAAGGTACTGACACCAGCCTAACCTCTGGGACACCCTGGCGCTCAACGGTGAGACGCGCGGAACCAGACGGAACCCAACACCCAAATGTCCCCACTACTTCCCAACAACCCACACTGTCATTGGAACTCACCCGACTTTCTCTACAAAATGACTCTGGTAAAGCAAACAAAACCAGTCTGAAGACTAGTATCCTACCGTGGTTTGCGCTTGTTATGACCGGGTCGGATCTGCCGCACGCGGCGCTTCGTTACCATCAACTGATGAAGTCAAGACGCCTCCGGTTTTGGTTAAAACATCAGCAAGGCAGTAAAAACAATACACCCCGAGAAGGCAGAAACCAGTCTCAGGGAGAGTGGCCCGTGTATCACGGGACGGTGTCCTGCCAGAGTGACAAACAACCACACAGACTCACAGCAGCCCCGGTGCTCTGCTCTCTGGAGGCAAGCAGGCAGGGGACGGTGGGCTGGGACTGCACCGAGGAGCACTGATAGGACGGTCACACTGTCCGCTTTAACCCGCTCACTGCCACGCTGCTCGTACGCACCAGCGTACCCCGCATGTTATCATCACTTTAGGCTTGTTTGTTCTTTTTGTTCTTCAAAATGAGTACCCGAGGCCAAAGCAGCGCGAAAAAACACTACAGCAAGAAAGAAGGAAATGTCTGACTGCTGGCATCTGGACGTAGTTTTAGGTAGAAGACGCTTCACCTCTCACCCAAGACTATTTATCCCACTGGGCGGCGTTTCAGTCCCTGGTGGCCAACAATGTCCTCTAACAGCTGAGTCGTCAGGGTCTGGTATGGTGAGAGACGTTATCTGTCTTTGCATGTGAGGGTTCAGAGACAGGTAACGACTTTCACCTCTCTCTTGGACGAGAGGTGAAACGTCTTCTACCTAAAACTACGTCCAGGCGCCTTCTTCCAAGCTTTTTTTCAGCATGCTACAACCTGGATGACTGGGAATTTGCACCGACATGAAATATGTGACTAATAACAATTAAACCAAAAGATATGAGGATACAACAGAAAAGGAAACAGCAATAAAAGTGAACCATAATTCACTACAAACACTACATTCACTGTTAAATGGCATTGTTTTCCAAAACATATAATTTACAGATGTGACTATTATGTTGTCATATGTGCAGGAACTGATGAAAAAGGCTCCACCAAGTTGCAGAACCCATCCTTAGACTCCAATACAGGGGTGGATTTGGAAAATTTTGGATGGTGTGGCCAAGCTGGGGAACAGAGGGGTGGCACGTTGGAAATACATCTAAAAGGTAAAGCAAGCCCTTAGTTCTATGCAATAATAAACCATAAAGGATTAAAAACCAAAGTGTTTATTCTGCATAAAAACGAAACACACATTGCTTTCTTTAGCTAACTTTGTCTGAGCTTCTAATTTACTCCTGGCCGGGGACATCGCAGCTGCACAGGGGAATGATGCCAAGTTCTCCACAACAACGCAGTCAGAGAAATGAATGCAAATACCAGGCTGCATGCATGATATAAGATAAAACTAATTTGACCAATATCGATTATACAACACCAGAAAACCGTTATTTGTATTTACATTTTGACTCTGGCAGGGGGCCCTGTCTCTGTCCATGCTCCAATAGTCACCTTTTAAGTTCAACTAATTTCATCTGCACTGTTCATGTTCATTTAACAAAAACAGGCCACATTACAGATATGCCTACACTCGGACAGTAATTGACTAATGAGGGTCAATACATCAACTTTAAAACTTATTTCACCTGAATAAGATATTTTACTTTAAGCTCTCCCGGTTTAACATACCGACTTGAAAAGCAGTGTTCTGGATGAAACTTTTTGTTTGGTCAGTCCACACCCAAATACAGGATACTGTAGCTGTCTCATGAGGACATCCTTTTATGAGACAGTCATCAAACAATAAAACAGGGATTAAGCTGTAGTTAATATAGTTAAGGTGCAACATTAATTATTAACTTTATAAGTGATAAGACTGCAGTAAGTTTAATATGCTAAGCCTGCTACAGATACAGTAAACAGCCTTTAATTATCTAAAATGCTACCATATAATTCCTTAATAGGGCCACACCTGTTCTTAACACATCAGTTTACTTAAATTATAGATTACTGCTCTTCTAGGTTTAGTTTAATAAGTACTTTTAAATGTACTTTCGTCTTTCTCTCCTTACCCAAGGCAACAAATGCTCTGGGTAAATGTGGTTTCATTCAAACCTCAGAGGGGGAGGAACTGTCCAAGTCAATAAATACTCAGCTTAATATTCATTTTAGAATATACAACTACCTCCCTTATCCAGGTTAAAGACATAGCTCATTTTAAACTTGCGAAATATCCTTAACAGCTGTTTTTTTTTAAGATTTTCAAGACATTCAACCTGCTGTCTGAACACACAAATAAGGCCCCTGGTTAAAAAGCTCAGATCCAATTCTGTGTTTTCTAGTTAGGTGCCTGAAAAAGTTGTCTTCAAACAGGGATTCAAGTCACAAATGTGGTCTGATAAGTCTATTAATTTTATATCCATTGCTTCCATTCCACTATGAAACAAGATCATTTACTATATGTGGAAGACAAAGTCTGGCACATATGTCTGTAAAGCCAGGAATGACCCACAATACAATGCCTGATTTTATTTAGACCAAATGTATCTTACACAAATTCTAAGCCCGGGCTGGACACAATGCAGCAATCAAATGGAAACAATCCCAGTATGTCATTTTAGTCTTTCAGTTTCATCAGTGGTTGTTCAAAGAAATCTGTCATCTTTAAACAGTGGAGACTCTTCTAGAAATGGATTTTGTTCACAAACAACTGATTCTTCTCAGCAGGGGAGGAGGTTTATCACAGGGAATGCTGGGAAGGCAGAGGGCCATACCTGGCTTTAATTTCAGCTGTCCACCAGCATTAGGACACAGCTCATATAGTGAGCTGTAATCATCTGCAGTAGTGTGGGGTTCTCATTCACAGCTGGCCTGGAGGCCAGTCAAACCCCCCATTAGTGCTTTGTTGTCTCTAATAATAACAACCTGGTACTATAGAGTTGTGTGTTCACTGTACTGTGCTTCTCTTCTGTCTGATATGTAATTACATTTAGCTCTCATTTTGTTTGTTACATGTTAAGAAACATCTCAGTACTGTTATTGTCAGGTCCCAAACGTACAGTACTTCTTTATAACATGCAGCTGAAGCACACACCTTTTGGTGCAGCAGTGAGTGAGCTGCCCATCACTGATGGAGCTTACGTGGCCGGTCGCTCAAGATGGTGACACCTTCCTCTGAAATAACAACACAAAGATATTTCAGCACCACTGTGCAGCTTCTTACCACCACCAAGATCAACATTAAGTTGATATGTGGTATTAAGCAGCATTAGAAAAACTGGGCTGGGGTTAAGCCAGCCAGGGCTAAGGTCTGCACATGGATCTAAAGAAGGAACCACATCAAAGGCTACACAGCACCAGGAAGGATGGGGGCCCCGGTGAAAGCCTGATGGACTTGGGATGATTGCACGCAACTCATTACAGTGACAGGTTTAGCAACCAAAAAAAGAGAAAGAAGGGGGTGGGTGTACAGTTAATGAAGGAGGGACAGAAGGAAAGGAGTACAAGATGTTTCTAAACCATTTAAGGCTTTGGCAATGGCATGTCAAAACTAATAATTAATGTCTTCAAACTTGCTTTCAAATCATGTTTCCAGGGCTAATTACAAAACTTCAGGGTTAGAATAACATCAATTCCTTTTCATTTCAGATATGTTAACTGAAGGAAATGTGGTACACAGAGCAGATATGCAACCCAAACAGCAAATTGTTGTTTTCTCTCTGTGCCTGAACAAAGACACAAGGGCATAAAACCTCAAACAGCTGCAAAAAAGAAGAAAACAGAAGGGAAGAGACTCTCTACAAAAAGCTTCACACCAAGTTTAAACATGACCCAACTTGTTGTGTGATTTCAAAGCACATTAACTAATGGCCAAGTCTTTAGATGCTGGGTTGTAATGTGCTCTGACTTATACACAGGAAGGCAGCAGGTAATCCTAGAAGCCCTCTGAGCATTGCAGGTACCCCTGTATGTGATAATGTCTGGTTAGCGAAAGAGGGGAGGAGAGAGGGGATGTGAAGGCAAAAGTCAGAAGTGAAAGCGTGGAAAGAAGGGTGGTGTTTGAGTGTATGCAGATAATTGAATGAACAAAGAAGAAAAGGAAAAGGTGCAACTGGACGGTAGCTGATTGGATGACTAACAGACTGAGGGGAAAAAGCAGACAGCCAGTTGCTCACATTGCTCTCTGGCCTCTGTGACGTAGCCCCTTATATTCAGGCTTCTCTATATTTTTGTCCTCCCCAGCTACATACATGAGCAGGCCATATCATTAGGAACACCTCTGAATATAGTGTAGTCCACCTTTAACATTGACCTCAATAATTAACATATAATTGAATTTATACATTTATGATACGTACAGGTACCTAATAAAGTAAAATGTACTGTGGCCTGTGGAGTCACTTTGTTGGCAAATATAAACTGCTCCATAAAAGAGGAATGATTTTAAGAAAGTTATGAGATAAGAGTTGATGGTGCAACTATATCTTTCAAATGAGCTCTATAAACTTACTGTTTGCGACCAGGACAACAAACCCTTTTCCCTCTTCAAATACCAATGAATAAAATTATGTACAATCCTAAGAACAAAATTCCTGGAGGGAAGTAACAGAGAAGCCAAAGAGAAAAGACTAGCAAAGGTATATTCCCACTTATTTTGCTAACTATCCCTTACTGTGACACAAAGCTTCTAGAATCTGATACCTGACAAGTGGATGAATTTGGTGTGAAATTAATTCATCCATTCTCATAAAATAGGTAGTGCTGAAAGTTTGGTAATACAGTGGCTACTTGTAGTTTTAATCACTAACTGGACAGGAACTTAAGACTTGATTTTTTTTCTGCACCAAACCCTCCTGTAGAAGATTTGGTGCAGATTGTGTCCTTTGTGGACAAATTTTCACTCCAAAACAGCAAGGTTATGCAAACCTAAGGACTCCACTGGAATCAACTAAATTTTGTTTGAACTTTGCTTTTGCAAATTCTGGAGTGATCCAGCCCTTATTTTGCTAATCAGGTTTATAATACAGCTAAGATTTCTGATGATAAAGAGTCTTGTCTCTCATAGAAATTACACCTGCTATGCAAAAAAACAGGGTGTATGTACTCAATTATTTTCCTTCTCTCAGTTTTGGAAGGCAGGTGCAGAACAAATGAATGGAGCAGCCACATTATTGTGGTTGTGAAGAGACATGCTACATCCAGATGACCCATCTGTCTCTTATCACTTCCTTTCATACACAACACAGAGATAAAAAGAAAATGACAGAGCGATAGTGGTTGGCTCAAACTATAAGAGACCGGCAGAGCCGTTTAGCTACACTTCTAGTTAACATTCTCGTGAAGTGTTGACTGGCACCTCAAAGGTGTCAATGACATCACATGCACGTTTGACCCACATTGGTTGACAGATGCAAAAACCACAAGCAAATCCAGAATGCTGTCCCTTACGTCAGTCAGCACACAGATTACAGACAGCTCCGACCTGACTGAACCAAAAACATCATTTGGTAGGGGCACAGGAGTAGGTCACAACACTGGAG